TTGAAACTTGACATGAGTAATCTTGGGGGTCCATAATAATCCATGAAAGTCATATGAGACATTGAAAGTTAAATTATCCTTGTGCAATCTCAAACCCTAATTTTAGTCATTAGTGTTTAAGGAGGTGTCTTGAGCTGATCAATCCTTGTGCAGTCTTGAACCAAAGGAGATCTTGTGAGAAAATATTTAATAAATGAGAGGGAAAATTTTGGGGTACAACATATATATATATATATGAGGTTTTGAGGTTTTGTTGATTTAGGGTTTTTTCTGGAATGTGTTCTACGAGAGTTCCTTATATGGGGAAGACAAATAAAGAACTCGAACAACAAGAAATGAGAGGATTGAAATTGATTCTGCTTCAAATTGATCCGCTTTTGGTTAATGGATTTTTTCCTAACTTTTTTCTCTTTATCTCTATTCAACTTCTAATTGATTATGAGATTTTGTTGATTTAGGGTTTTTTCATGAATATGTTCTACGGGAGTTCCTTACACTATATACTTTATTGACATAGGTGGAGGAGGTATGGACGTCTTCTGCCAATCAACATGATGGAAGGGATAATTGCTACTTATTACTCTACTGTTGATAAGTTTTACATTGATCCAAGTAAACTCCTGTATTTTGCTTGATCTTTGTAGGTGGAGGAGTATGTAATAATGTAGGCAACATGGTTTACCATATCTTTGTACAAAGTAGAGAATCCTGTATTTTGCTTGATCTTTGTGCATTCAAGTTGATGAAATGTGCATATCGTATTATATTGTACTTCACTGTTTCTATACTAACCTATTTAATTTTAGGAATTTTAATGGTTACATAGTCTTCAATTTCATTCCTTCCCTGCTTTTCTCTTCTGATATTTATACCAAAATCAGTAAATTAGCTTTTTCCAGTTACTATGTTAACTATAACTTAATGTTAACTATAAGTTAATGAAGAAGAAAGTCAGGAGATATATAAAACAAATAACAGCTGGAACTCAATCAACATAATGTACTCTGCGATTTATCATTGTTGCTAGACAATCAGGTAAGTATATCCAAGGATATGTATGGATTGGTGGAAAATTTATTTAATTTTATACGGTACATGAGAGTTTTTATAAGTCATTCCTTGATTTTGAGTTTCAGATAGAAACAATTAATTTATTCTTGCTTGAACAACAAAGAATACTTGCGGGAAGGCTGTCACGTATTAGAGAAGATCACCAGAATCTTTTACAGCAACAAGATTGTTCAAAGTTGGAAGAGATCTATTAAAGCTTCTTTATTTTATGGAAGTGAATACTACTGGTTTGAGAAAGATCTTAAAGAAGTTTGATAAATGATTCGACTATAAATTTATCAACTATTATGTCAAAACTCGCGCAAATCTTCCTTATTCTCAGCTAAGACAACTTCTAAACATATGCGGTAATGTTGTTACCAAATGCAAGGTAGTATTTTGTATCATCTTTGGTATCATGTAATGGTTTCTTTACAGGGAATTGGTACTATTGGAAATTTGATGCATATACTAACCTTTTGGAGGATGTATTTTGAATTTTTTTTGTATAGACTAACCTTTACATACTTCAATTACAGTGGCTTCTGTTGGCAATGGATTGATTGTTCTGCCAGAAAATCCATTGCGAATTAAGGGGGAACTTGGATCGAAAAGGTCAACTGCTACAAGTGCATTCCGGCCAGCTGAACCTAGGAAAAATGATGAGATATTTAATTCTTAGTTTTCAATTTTAACTAGATTTGAAATATTTGATTTTAGATTAATGGTTTATTTTTGTTGATAACTGTAGATGGATCCAAAGTTTTTGAGGAACCAGAGATATGCAAGGAAGCGCAACAAGAAACTTTGGGAAGTTATTTCTGATGCAGAGTAAATTTTTTGTATTTTCATCCCAGACTATGTCAAATCTAGACTCTGATATTGTTTTGAAGGTTTTTTAATTTAGACTAATTGCACTACTCTGTTAGCATTTGTTAAGTTTTTATCATGAATATTTATTTTCTGTGTTTTGAGTAACTAATATAGTCACTATCCCCAATGTCATAATTTATTTGTTTTGAATTCTAATGGTTAACTGAATGTTCACTGTTCATCATTATGTTAATTATGGTCAACGAAATTCATTGTTGTGTTATTGGGAGTTTTGGACAAGCTTTTCTTCCAGAAATTAGTAAGGGTAGCGTTTAAGGTGGGTTGGTGTCTTATCTTCAAGTTTAACCATTCAAGAGTTGCATTGCTGATTTTTCAGCTGGGCAAATTTTTTTCTTTCATGTTTTATCGATTTAGACAGGGTTAATGGTTGGTTTTGTTTTTTAAAATTATGCATTTATTAACTTGCTTGAACTCCAGATCTCACTAAAGCCAAACTGGCTTGAACTTCCAGATCTCACCATTGAAGCGATCACCGTTATCTCTCAGTCTGATTCTTACTTTGAATATTATAGATGTTGCTATTCTGTTTAAATCAGTTTTGATCATCTCAAAAACATGTTAACTATCAAATTTTGGGAGTTACCTTGAGGCACATGTAGTATTGAATCATCCATAATGTTGCTCTTCTTTTTTATAATATCAGAATGTAACATTTTATAACGACACTACATGTTGCTGCTGATAAAGCATTCGTTGAGCTAGAGAAGTGGATCAAGATGAGTATTCTGAATACTGCTGGCTCTGGGAGATTTAATAGTAACATGACCAATTGAGTGTATGTAGAGAGAACATGAAAATATTCTACTTTGCATTAAAGATATTTCTCTTTAGGTTATGTTCTTTATATTTATATATACGGAAGATTGTTGGTTTCAGTTTAGGAAGATATTTCTCTTTAGGTTATGTTCTTTATATTTATATATATGGAAGATTGTTGGTTTCAGTTTAGGTTTATTTTCTTTGTGTATTATAATTTGCTTGGTTTCATTATTTTGTAAACCCTTCTTTTTCTAATACTATACTCGCTCAGATTCTTCAAGTTTGAAAAGAACAAGATCTAACCGGTGGATAGACGATGATATGAATGACTAAAGTATGATTTCAAATAAAATAGAAAACTAAACAATGTATTTATTAAATAAACATTATACTACAAACTCATAATATATTAATAGTATATAGTACACTTGTATTTAGTTTTCATGCCAATTAGTGGTTAAGTTTACTTACTAACAAGCTATGGTAAAGGGATAAATTCCTGGTGATGTTTTTTTTTTGTTGAGAATTTGTCTTTCTTTATAAAATACTTATAATAAAGAAGTGATGAAAGAAATGCTATTAAAAAATACTTATAATTTTTTTAATAATAAATTGCAATAACTTTTAATATTAAAGAATGTTATTTTGATATTATATTTAATTATGAATGATTTATATTAAAATTATATTTATCGATTAAATACATGTTGACATAATTAAATTTATGCATTAAAGAAATAAAATAATACTAAGTAACTCTATAATTATTAAAAAGAAAAATAAAATAGTTTATTTTTAAAATTCAGTTTGTATGATATTTTATTAAAAAAATATTAATATTTATACTAAAAAATTGTTACAAATATTTATTTTTAAAACATATCTTGTTGTGTAATGTATCTAATGCTATTAAAAAATACTTATAATTTTTTAATAATAAATTGCAATAACTTTTAATATTAAAAAAATGCTATTTTGATATTATATTTAATTATGAATGATTTACATTAAAATTATACTTATCGATTAAATACATGTTGGCATAATTAAATTTATGCATTAAAGAAATAAAATAGTAGTAAGTAACTCTATAATTATTAAAAAGAGAAATAAAATAGTTTATTTTTAAAATTCAGTTTGTATAATATTTTATTAAAAAATATTAGCATTTATACTAAAAAAATTGTTACAAATATTGATTTTTAAAATATATCTTATTGTATAATGTATCTAATTATTAATATTAATAATTAAATATATGTAATAAAATGTATTTAAAAATGTATGTAATAAAAATATAGTGATATAAAAATATATTTTATAAATGTATGTAATTCGTAAACTATTTTTAAATAATATTATATGACATTAAAAAATAATAAAATATAATTAAATATAATTAAATATAATAAAAATTGATATCAAAATATCTTTAAATATGTTTAATAATTTTTTTTGGTTTATCTATAATATAAAAAGTTATATTACAATTTTAATTTTCAATTGTATTTGATTTTACTATTAGGCTAATATTTAAAATACATTTAATAAATTTTAGATATTAATTCATTTGGATTCAAATGAGATTTATTAATTCATTAGAGTTTATTGATAGATGTAAACGTATCTATGAGATATCGGTTATAGATTGTTCATTTTAATGTTTATCTTTTAAATTTTTTTTGTTACTGTTTTATATAATTAAAGTTAGAGAATCAAATGTTCAATTTATTATAAATAGATATTAATGCTTAAAAGTTGATATAAATTATTAATATATTTATGATTATATGAATATTAACTAATTGAAAAATAAATTCAAAATTTATAAATAATAATTTAATAAATAAGTAATGTGAATCAAAGGAGACATGCTGTGCTAACACAACTTTGTTAATAGTTTCAAATAGTAAATAATCTATATTGCATGTCAACCATACATCTAAAGTCTAAACTCACCTTGAACCTAAAATACACTAAAAAGAAAGAAAGCCACGTGCCCGAAAACTGAAATATCCAAGCTGCGGATTCGAAAACCAAAACTTAAATCAAATTCACAAACCCCGCGAGATCCATTTCCCTTTATTTAAGCACACAAATTAAAAATAACAATAATAAAAATGAATAAATACGCCTAAACAAGTTAAAATAATAATAATAATAATAATAATAATAATAATATAAAAACACGCATAAATTGATTTTTATTTTCACATTTTCGTGGCGAAAAAATTCTCCGAATCAAACTTGACACTCTCTCTGTATTCACAAGATCTGCGAAAAGTGGAAGTTCGAAAATGGGTTCCGTCGATAAGGAGGTTGAAGAAGCGCTTTTAGAAGCGGGTCAAAACCTTCTAGATCCTCCTTCTTCCATCGACGAGTTAATAACTCTTTTAGACGTAAGCACACTTTTTTTTTTCTCTTTTCATTTCCTTAAATACGTTGCGTTTTTTGTTTTGTCAATAAGCTTTTTCGCTAGGGTTTTGTGAATCAATCTTGCATGTTGTATCTCGTTTCGTTTTTGCCCTAATTGAATCATTGGAGAATATTTCAGATTTTGGAAAATTTCTTTCACCGTCTTGTTGCTGTTTGTTCATGCTTTGTCAACAATGTTTAACTGTTTAGGGTTGGAAAATTTGAAAATATTTTTTAAATTATTCTGAGAACATTCTCAAATTTTGTGATGTAGAAGATGTTTTTTTTCTAGTGAATTAGATTATTAGGTTAAATTGAATCAAACTAGTCTCTTATGAAAATCCATTTGTGAATGAACGAGTTGATTCAGTTTTACCCCCCCTTTTCCATTAGAATAAACAAACATAACCCAACAGGATCTATGGGCATAAGCTGTACTAGGTTTATTTCTGGGAATAAAGAGTGATAGAGGAATGTAGAACGATGCTGATATCATGTTCATTCAGTTTCCCCCCTTTTCTATTTGAATGACATAGGCTGTACTTGGCTTATTTCGCGGGATAAAGAGTGATAACGGAACGAAGGCCTTCAGCTATTCTTTTTTTGTAAGCAAAATTAAACTAAGATATATAAAAATATTAAATATCCGGGCTATAAAATCTCGTTGCATGTTTAAATTAGTTATGCTCTATGAAGCACGGACACCCTGAATGCAACGGCAACACTAACACAGCGACATCAATAATAATTTTAAAAAATAAATAAATTAAATGTAATTACACGTGTTGGTGGCGGTGTTAGACACAGACAAGACACACTTTTTTTCAGAGGTGTTGGTGCTTGTTAGGTTATGTTTGTTATTAATTTGAAGTACTGTAAAATTTACGAATATAATAATCTACTCATCCTACCAAATCATCTATTTAAAAGGGAAAACGTGGTACCAATTGTATTTTTGATCAATATCTTGTTGAATACATTTTCTTGGTGTGGGTAATTTGATAGTGTTGATATCTTTGAATTGACGACGATATCTTTGAATTTATGATGTGCAATTTTGACTGTTGTAGCAGCATGGTATGCGAATTAGTTGTTAGGCATAAAAGGTAAAACATAATGTTTCAAAATGTTTCTGGGATCGCTCGCCAGCTAGGTCAGATTGAAGCAATCATTTTTGAGAACATATTACCCATATTCGGGGACAAGGGGCGGAACGACCTCTCGATCTGCTTACTGCAGCCCAGGAATAAAAACGTCGTCTAGGCGTTCCTTGTTATCCCCGCCCCGGCCGGCAGCTGCTGGGTCTCCCCATCTCTCCTAAACTTCCCCCGGTCTTCGGCCCGAGCTGTATGAGGCAGAAACTCGCCCCACGTACGGTTCGGAGGCCGAGCCCCACCCCAGCAGTAATGGTGCGGCTTAGGTCAACTAACACAAAGAAGATACAGTTCACTCAACGATTGCCTTTGGGTTCCGAACTCCATATGGGGAAGGAGCGTTGTTGTTTCCGAGGTCTCGATCATTTACATGGACCCACTTCTCATTCCATTTGTGGTAATTTTCTGATCTATAAACCGTCCCTAACGAACGATCGCCTCATGTTTGAGCATGATGAATCACTTCGTGCCGACCTGTTACGTCTTATGGTCGGTGCCCTATGATACAGCTGTGATCACATGTTCATATATATCAATTTCCGCCCAGTATCATTCTGAATCGTAAGATTGCACAGTATTATGATCTTGCCACGCCTAAACGAGTCTGATCGTTGTATCACAGATTCACACACAATTTCGCAGTTTGCAGTGATCTCGTGTAAGATCTCGAGATTTGTTTAACCCTTTCAATCCCAAATGAATGATTTGCTGGGATGCGTGTCCTGGGTCCCCTAAAACTGATGGCGAGTCTTAAGGTCATTTGCCTTTTCATAACCAACAATTTCCCAAGGTCATTTGCCTTTTCATAACCAACAATTTCCCAGTCAGTAAGTGGTGGTTTCTGAAAAATCCAATCTCTTGTTGCTTTCCTTTGCTCTGTTTCTTGAAAACCTACTCTGCAAAGTGGTGATAAAGAAGAATAAGAGATAATGGTATGTGCAAGTGCTATTGTGGTTCGGTTGCTTTGTACTGAAGACAAGTGCCGTCGAGGCATATTGTTTCCACCGGTGACCACCATGAGCTTAATTAAAATAAGCACATATGACCCATCTACTAAGCAGCATATAGTTTTATACAAATTTTATTTTAATAAAGAAGATAGGATTTTAATTGAAACAAAAAATATATCAAATAGTAGTTTTAGTGTCAGAAAAACTTATCATCAACATATTTTCTCTCGATCCTAGGTAGGATATGGATTTCAACAACATTTTATGTAAAGAATCAACTAGTCTCATTATACTAGTTTTTGTTAAAATTCTCCTCGAGTGGTATATTGGAGGAAATTAATAACTTTTTAACTTGTACATAACTGTGTTCCACTCATTGAATTTATTTATGGATTATGTTTTTCTTTATGTATTTCTATAACCGTAGTTACTTGAGTCTTGGATGTTGGGTTTGAATATTTTGTTACTTGTTCTTTATGTGCTTTTGTTATCTTAAGATGTTAATACTGTATATTTGTTTTGGGGGTTAATTTTGACAAAATATTCAAAGAGTCAAAACACATTGTTTAACTTTCTCAATTGTTGTCAATCGAGAGGGTTGTGGAAAATAGTGGTTTGTTCTAATTTCGCTATGCTATGGCGCTCTTTGAAGAGACTTTATACTAAATTGCATATCGTGGAACGATTTCAAGAACAATAGGGGTTTGTTTAAATTCTGCCACGTTATAGCTGCTGCTGACTTTCCTTGTCAACTAGTCACTGTTGTAGTATAACATAGTATTAATAATTTCCCATCTTGTAGAAGTTAAAACAATGGCAGACCGAAATATTAATCACATGTGCTTGATATTGCGATTTTTTCTCGGAACTGCAGAAAATTGAAAGTTGCCTATCAAAGGTTGAGCAGTCACCTTCTGAATCTATGCATAATGCGCTCTCTCCAGCATTGAAAGCATTAATTGCTGATAAACTTTTAAAGCATTCAGATGTTGATGTCAAAGTTGCACTTGCCTCCTGCTTCAGCGAGATAACAAGAATCACTGCACCTGAAGCTCCATATGATGATGACCAAATGAAGGTGCACTTGAATATTTTCTATTGTAAATTCATTGAATGCTGTTCTATCATCTTGTTCTTATCAAATCACATCTATTGGGTTTATGGTGTCATTTTATTTCAGGAGGTCTTTAGATTAATTGTATCTTCATTTGAAAATCTACATGATAAGTCAAGCCGATGGCACTTGAAGAGGACTTTAATCCTTGAAACTGTTGCAAAAGTCAGGTCATGTGTGGTAATGCTGGATCTTGAATGTGATGCACTCATTTTGGAGATGTTTCAGCATTTCTTGAAGACAATAAGGTAGGAACAGTTGTATTCAAGGGCTGGCTTTATAGTTTCTGAATGTTTTTTTTTTTATATTACATTTATTAGACTTTAGGCCAAACTCGATCCCACAAAATGGACATGTATAGTGTGGGTTATCCAAGCTTTATAAACTCTGTTTAGTTATATCTCTAGGAGAACTCAAATAGCAATTGTTTAACTTCATACATGATATAATCTTAAGGTGCTTCATGCTTGTATTGAGAAATTTGCTTTTGACTTAATGGAGGAAGAGTTGGTGTTTCATTTAGTTCAGAATTTTAATGACCGGTATCATTATTGCTTCTAAGTATTACCTAACGATGTCTATGTTTCTCCCATCATATGCTATCCTTTCTTTTGATATTTAATTGGATATGTGCTTTTATTGTATTTAGTCATTGTGTTCTTTGCAGGGTGAAAAATATAATAACAGAGGCAGCTAGTTTATTTCAAGATTCGTTATATATTTGATTCTCTGACATACTTCACACTAATATGCCAGATTAAATGAAATGAATTAGTTTATGGTTTGGATTTAATTGGAAATTATCACTATTTCTAGAAGCAGTAATTGTAGTTGCCATGTGTTTGTTTCTGTACCTAGCCTAGTTGGATGCAAAATGTGTGAACATGGTTCTAAGCAGCTCTGTTTGAAACTTTCAGGGAACATCACCCTGATAATGTTTTCTCGTCCATGGAAACCATAATGGTCCTCTGTCTTGAGGAAAGTGAAGATATATCTCTTGACTTACTCTCTCCAATCTTGGAGAGTGTGAAGAAAGACAATGAGGTTGGAGTTTGGAATTTGAGTTTCATTATTTTTAATAGATTGTGATTGTGTAACTGAAACATATTTCATTATGACGTTCTTATAATTGTCATGGTTGCTGTCATTATAACCCAGGAAGCTTTGCCAATTGCTCGAAAGTTGGGGGAAAGAGTTCTTGAAAGTTGTGCAACAAGGCTTAAACCCTATTTAATGCAAGCTGTGAATACCTTGGGTATTTCTTTGGATGATTATAGTGATGTTCTTGCCTCATTATGCAATGATTCATCAGATAACTCAGCGCAGAATGATGTATGTGATACTAGTGGTCATGTGAATTTTTGCGCTTTAATGTTTATAAATGTTTGATTAGCTTGAAAATTGTTTTTCATGAGATAACTTATGATTTAGTTTGTTTTTGTGGCTTGCACTAAATAGCTTAAACCCTATTTAGTGCAAGCTGTGAACACCTTGGGTATTTCTTCGGATGATTATAGTGATGTAATTGACTCATTATGCCATGATTCATCAGATAACTCGGCGCAGAATGATGTATGTGCTACTAGTAGTTATATGAATTTTGTGCTTTAATGTTTATGTATGTTTGATTAGCTTGAAAATTGTTCTTCATGGGATAACTTATGATTTAGTTTGTTTTTGTTTCAGGTTCATGATTGCAAATCAGCTGAAGAGCCTGTGGAGGAATCGGCACAGGTGTGTTTGTTCTTCTCATATGTTTTTGTTTTTCATTTGGCTGTTCTGATGTGTTTACCCTTCTGCTTTTGGGATACTGTAACATGTAATTTTTTCTTGATCAGGTGGATAGCGAGATTACAAAAGAAGCCACACCACCACCACAACAAGATAATGATGCTGATGGGGACAGGTCTCCTAAGTCTGTCATGAGCAATGGCATTACACAAGCCGGAGAAGATGATACTTTAGTAGAATCAAAGCCTCTTAAGGAGCAGGATGGTACTGACTCTCCTGTTCTGTCCAAAGGTAATAATTTGTCAGTTAATGAGGAGCGCAATGATTTGGACACTGAAATAATTGACAGTAAAGAACAAAAGCTGGAGCGCAGTACCAAGAGGAAAGGAAAGAAAGCCAGCTCTTCAAAGTCGACCAAGTCTTCTAAGAGATCAAATGTTGTTAGTGAGAAGGAAGCCGAGAAAACATTTGACTCTGTAAGTCCCAGCAAAGAAACTCCTAGTTCTCTTAATGATAATGGTGTTGTAGAGGCTACAGGAACGTCAGAGAATGACAAAGAGATTAAAGTTACAATTTCATCACCGAAAGTAGGTGACGTCGAATCTGATGCCGTTGTTTCTCATTCACCAAGTGAGAGCAATCATGACGAGAATCGCTCTAAGAAACGTGTACGAACAAAAAAGAAAGATAGCTCTGTGAAGGAAGTGACTGCAGGACATATTTCGAAAAAGGTGTCTGAAGGAACATGTGATTCTGAAGTAAAATCAGCAAAACCATCAGCAAAAAAGGGACTTGATCGTAGCTCTGATGTGAAAGTAACTACTGTTGTTGATGCAGTTAAAAAGGGTAGTGGAAAATCAGAAGAAAGAACCAAGGGTGATGGTGGGTCATCTTCCCGAAAGCAGGAGGACAAGAAAAAAGGTAGTGGAAAAACAGAAGAAAGAACCAAGGTTGAAGGTGGGTCATCTTTGCGGAAGCTGGAGGACAAGAAAAAGAAGGGACATGTGAAAGGTAGTTCTGAAAAGGGTTTAGCAAAATCTTCCTCTAAAGATGAGGATAAGGTACTTTTACGCCTGCTGTTCAAACATTTCTTTGTGGTTATTCATTCATATAACTGCAACATAGTATTTTTTTGTCCAAAACCAAATTATTGACTAATTTTGCAAATGTTTTAGATAATGGTATCTTCACTTAAGTCAGCTGCGAAAACAACCAAAGATGAACACTCAGAGGAGACTCCTAAGACAAATTTGAAAAGGAAGCGCACTCCAGGAAAAGAAAAAGTGTGAACCCCGTTCTGTTCTGTTATAATTTTGATGATAAAACCCATGATTGAATCATTTTGCGCTGTCCTTTGGGAATGGTCCTTTTGCAGTTTTATGGTTTTTGTGCTGGACTTTTGCAGTGTGATCAAATAGTTTGCAGAGTATTTTTTAATGGAATACTGATTTGGTTAAATAATACTGATCAATGTCCTTTAGCAAAGGAAGTAATCAGTTGCAAGTTCATGTGGGCTCCCTTATTTTTAAATGCGAGCTGTATTTTTCTTTGTTACTCATTATTTCTGGTTATTTACTCTGTTTTCATTTTTCTTCTCAGTTTGATTGCTGATCTTCTGGCTGTTGTCTCAGGTGTCTGGTATCAAGAAAAATGATCAAAAACTTGTTGGAAAACGGGTTAAAGTTTTGTGGCCAGAAGATGATATGTAAGTACGCAGTGGTTCTTCATTTATGACATGCTGTGACTGGAAATTTTAGTTGGCAGGGTCAGGGATTGGGACTGGGACTGGGACTGGGACTGGGACTCTGGGAGTGTTGTACGCTGTTAGGCATGTATTTGTATATTTTACTTTTTGCATGCATGATTGAAACAATCTTTTTTTTCCCTTGGTATATGAGGTTGAATTATCTTTTCACCTCTAATCTTGATGATTGTTGCTTTGTGTGCCAAACAGACCATCATTTTATTTCTTTCTGGACTGAAGAGGATGGAAAAGTTAGTCAGTTACAAGATATTAGTTCTATAATAAATAGGGGTATGCAAGATTGGGTAATTCATTCAGGTTTCTTTTAGCATTTCGCTAGCAAAGCATTTGCTATCCTCAAATTGATATTTCTTCCTTGCCCACAATTTCTGATCCTCTAAACTCCCTAAATGATTTCTTTGTCAACTAGACCCATTGCATTCAGTGTTCCTTTCTTGGTGTCAGGCCTCAGGCCATTCTTTCATGCGCATACACCGACCCGACTGTCAGAGTTCACACAATGCAGTCAGAATGTGCAGACCCATTCGATAAAAACTGGTACCCATAATGAATGAGTTAAAGAGAAAACATAAATGGTAGAACAGTTCTCTGCAGAATTTGTCTAGAACAGCATTTTATATTATTAATACAGAATTAACATTCCAGTACATCATGGAAAGTTTATAGAGACAATGATAGAATAGATATAAAGCAATTTCTATCCAAGTAATTCAAGAATCTTGGTCTCTCTCCCTTTCCAAGAATTCGAGAGCTTGGTCTATCCTGTCCAAAACCACTCAACAACTAACCCCATAATCAGTTTCTCCTTTCCTTTCTCTATGCATTCCTAAAATTAAACAATTTAACTCACAATATCTTTCCAAATCTGCCCATAGCTGCCATTATAAGGAGTCTGACACCATGACACTTGTTTACTGTTGCATATGGTTGTATGACCGACCTTATTTGGCCGACTCTCAGCAATTCTCCCCTGTTTCGGGAAAACTACCAAGCAATGTGCACGTAGTTTTCAGCGTGTTTTTAGGAAGCTCCTAGTGGCCTTCAAATCTTTGACATAGCTGCCTGCTCTGTTTTTTCCTCTGTACTTCTGTTTCAGTATCTATTTCAGGCGTTTTGGGCCAAGCTAAGGCTGGATTAATGATGATTTTGTCCTTAGTTTAGCTTTGGCTTTTGGGTCTTGATAATAAATGTCTTTAGTTGTGTATTATTAAGTGTTCTGAGCATCTAATTTTTAAACTTAAATGAGATCTTTGTTGTAGCAACTAGGTATTGTTTCATGTCTGCAATACTGATATATTAGGTTCAATGCTTTGAGCTCAAGCATTTATTTTCTGGCTTAATTTGTTTGTCTCTTGTTTTAACTGCTACTTATATAAGCTGCCAAATCCTTATTGTAGTGACACCATATTCCATTAAATAAACCAGGACTATGTTGCTATCGATAAAATTTGCTGTATAAAATGAAATGTTGGGGCTAGGGAGATGCATCTAAGAAATAAACTAGGGGTTATGCTTTTCTTTTTCTTGGCTTCTCGGTGTTGATATGCATATTCCATCTTGATATTGTTCACCTGTTAACCATGTGCATCTAAGAAATAAACTAGGGGTTATGCTTTTCTTTTTCTTGGCTTCTCGGTGTTGATATGCATATTCCATCTTGATATTGTTCACCTGTTAACCATGGGAAAATTATGGTATAATAAATTTGATAACATAATCTTCTGCAGGTTTTATGAAGGTGTTGTTCATTCTTTCGATTCTTCCAGTAAGAAGCACAAGGTGATTTGGCAGCTAAATTACCTTCTTTTTACCCTGCTGTTCCCCTTCAATTTACTTGAGTAAAACTTTTCTACTTCTGTTTTGTTATATAGATTTATCCATTTGAAAAGTAAGTTGTGCAAATTCGTCTATTGTAGCAAACTCAAGATAGCTCCCTTTATTATGCTAAAATATTTTCTATTTCACATGTGATAAACTTTTAATTGCAAAAGAATAATTTTAGAGTCTGATTAGTCACGATGATAAACATTTTATTGCAAAAGAATAGTTTTAGAGTCTGATTGGTTTCTAAAAACATTTAGTTAGTTTTAATTATAATAACGTCACCTCATTTGTTTGTTTTCATTTCAATTTTTGTTTTCTACTTTTGTAATAGAGATGGTGAAAACACATTTTTTTTTCTTCCCATTTTCATTTTTTCCTTGAACATAACTTGGAAACAGGAAATAAAGTGAAAATAATGTGTGAAATATAAAATGGAAATTTAGGCCAATCATGCCCTTGTTTTCACTGTCTTATTTCTTCAAAATTGTTTAGAAAACATAATTCCCCCCCCCCCCCCCCCCCCCCCCCCTCTTTAACCCACAACCAGCCTTTAATTTGTATTGAAAATATGTTTTTTTTGTTGATAACTAAAGATGAGATTAAAATGGAAACAAAAAACACTATTCAGGCTAAATAAGCCCTCATATCTTAATTTTTATAAAATATCAAATAATACAATTCACAACTAGTGCTTTCATTCTCTTCTGACAGTTGTCTCTCTGTTTTAGGTCTTATATGATGACGGTGATGAGGAAATATTGAATTTGGATGAGGAGAAATGGGAAATTGTTGAAGCTGATACTGATCCAGATGTGGTGGGTTCCTTTCCTTTGAATTTCACATGTTAAAACTCTTTCCGCGTCAATAATAATGGCAATTTATTTTTTCTTAGCAGGAAGAAGGAAGTCACCATGCAAGTCCTGATCCTTCTACTGATATGTATGTTCTACTACTACTATTATTATTATTATTATTATTATTATTATTATTATTATTATTATTATTATTTATTTATTTATTTATTTTAGATGTCCTTTTTGGTATATTTTTAGAAAAATCGTCTTCAAATTATTTTGCATCAATGTTTGTATTTCATCTTTGACAGCATTTCCCTCTTCTGTTCATAGTTGCAGCCCTTGTCTTATATTTGGTTGTTTTGTTTATTTTATTGTTTATGCTTGTTAGCACATTGTTTTGATGTATTTCTAATTTGGTGGAATTCTACCTTGCCTCGCGTTGAATTGGAAAACAAGAATCCTTCATATGATTTATTCTGTGGCATGTTTCTGAACTAATTTTGTAGTGGAGTGTATTGGGTTTGAATTTCTGTTTCCTCTCATAAAAGCTTGAATCAGATACGGTCAATCTGTTGTTGCAATTGGTGATTGTGTTTTCTTGCTTAGCTTTTGCCTTTAGTTTTTGGGTTCGGCCATTCATATCCATTTGTTTCTTCAATTATATTTAGGCCCCTTAAAAAGAAAGGGAAAACAAATGCTGGTGAATCAAAAAAGGAAGGAAAGAACTCTTCTAAAAGGTTAGTGAATATTATGGAATAATGTCTTTTTTATTCTTTCAAGTTATCAACTTTCTACTTTAATTTCTAGTAGCGGAGGAGCACCATCAAGTAAATCAAAGACGCCATCCAACAAGTCTACCCAAAAATCCAAGACTGTTGGCAAGTCTGACGGTGAAGTTAGTAAAAAATCTAAGGATTCTGCACAAAAAACTGGTGATAAATTTGAGGATCGTTATGTGAAAAGTGGTGGTCAATCTGAGGAACGTTCTGTGAAAAGTGGTGGTAAGTCTATTGATTCTACACAAAAGAACAATTCCAAGAAGACCGATGGTTCCAAGATAAAGAAATCCAAAGATGATGATGTTGACACACCAAAGCCTTCTGGTTCCAAGATAAAGAAATCCAAAGATGATGATGTTGACACACTAAAGCCTTCCGCTAATTCTAAGCAAGAAACTGTGAAAACTGGAAAATCCAAGCAAGGAACATCTAAGACTGTAGAAGATGATGATGTTGACACCCCAATGCCTTCTGCCAATTCTAAGCAAGAGACAGTGAAAACTGGAAAATCTAAGCACGGAACATCTAAGATTGCATCTTCCTCCAAGCCAAAATCCACCAAAACTACTGGCAAGGTGAAATTTAATTTGACAGAAGATTCAGAAAATGAGAACTCTGAAGACTCAACAAAAGAGGTTGAAGATATGAAGGTCAAGACACCTAGTTCGTTAAAGGCTGGAAGTGTGATCAAGAGCGGAAAGAAACGGGCAAGAAACTAGAGGTGGATGTCTACTCTAATGCTTGCTCGTTTTTTCCGGTCATCATCATTTTGGATATCCCTTTCTCTAGTCAGGCCCCTCTATTTAAAAGTTTGTGATAATCTCCTAATTATTTGTAGCAGTCTCAGTAGAAGTGTAGGTTAGTTTAGTGCCACTACTGTGTTAGTTTGTACTTTTGTCTTGCCCCCTCCCCCTCCCAAGTAGATTTCATTTGACGGTGATAAAAGAAAACGCTTGGTTAGTAACATTGTTAGAGAATGTTGTCACGCCGGATAATGATATGTTTATAAAACTACTCTACCAAATTGAGTTATGTTGAAAGCAAGTGCATATTGCAAGACTGATGAAGCTATCATAGTTATGCCTCTGGCTGAGGAAGACAATAACCTGTGTATGATTTATTAGGTAGGTTCCTAGTGCATGTATGAAGTCCAGTTTTATCGATTAACGCAAAGGAATGTTCTCTTTGCACCTTTATACCTTCTCTCAAGCCCTTGGCGTAATGGCAAAAATACCCCATGTTTTCGGAGTAACATTTTTGAATATACCATATTCTATATTTTATAAAAATTTAGTTTGGAGATATATCTTTGAATTTTTCTAAAGTCAATTGGGAGATGTATCTTTGGAGTTACATTTTCGAATGTATCATATTCTATTTTTTATAAAAATTTAGTTAGGAGATATATCTTTAAATTTTTCTAAAGTCAATTGGGAGATATATCTTCGAAAATACACCTGAATCAGGAAATACTGATTTAGAAAATACACGATGTGTCCATGTGTAAAAATTACAGTTTTTTGGACCAGTGAACTAATTCACTTGGCTTCAATTTACGTTAAACAACCTTGTAAACAAGATTTCCCAAAGTCTTCAAAATGTGTCTTTTCCACCTGATCTAATTTTTAGACAAATCAAATCGTCCGAAATCTCCCTAGTTTTAGTTGATCTTTTATCACAATATGAAAATACTTTTCAAAAGCCATATGTTTTTGTGAACAGAAGCGCAATTCTTGTTACATTAGGTTATATTTCAAAGTAGATGTTGCTGGCGGAGGAAGATGTTACACAATTTACTGTCTCACCCAGAGATTTACGGGTGATTTACTAGTCATTGTTTTGCCTATCACTTTAAGAAAACAACTTATCTTGTGAATCCAAACTACATGTATATAGATTGTTTGGAAATTTCTACTCCACTAATAGAAATTGTTCTATTATTTATTTCTGGTATATTTTCGGAGATACTTATCTGAATTACCTCAAAAATATATATAGATGTATTTTTGAACTAAATTTTATTAAAAAATGAAATTTGATGCGTTTAGAGACGTGCTTCCGAAAAAACATAAGGGTATTTTGAATTTTTTAGAGGTGCGTCCTAATATATAAGGGTGTAAAAAAAATTTCTCTAACACAAATAATAGCCAATATTAGGAGATATTAACATGCCACCTCCAATTTTTTTATTCCAATTTTACCCCTAATGAGATACAAAGAAATTTTTGGACGAAATTTTTGGTAGAAGAGTTGAAATTTCTGGTACATATGAAATTTTTGGTACACTATTACTAAATTTTTTATAAGAGTAAATTTTCGGTTGTGCATTTGAAATTTCTGGTAAATCGAAAATTTCATATTTATGTGACAATTTAAACTTTCAAATTTCAAAATTGAACTATCGGAAATTTCAAAATTTCCAGTATCCTGTAAAGCCCCAGGAATTTTGAAATTTCCGGTACAAAAGGAAAATGTTTACACTGGAAATTTCAAAAATTCCGGTACAAAAAATTATTCTCCAAGTCGATGAAAAATAAACAAAATACAATAAAAATATAGTCTATTAAGTATGCTTAATCCGAACACCCCGACTCCTCTTCTGCCTATCGTAATCCAAAGTATTCTGTGTCTCGTTAAGAATGGAATGTGCTAGGGCAACCGCTGCATGACCACCTCTCTCAAACAGTCCATACTCGATGGCCTCTCCTATCACCCGCATAATATTATGATAAATTGATAAGACATCAATAGGATCTCCTCATGAGCAGGCCTAGGTGGACGTCCAAGAGCGTCTTGTGTCATGTAAGAGTGTGCCACATTATAGAATCAAGTCATGTAACCTTTAACATAACTCTATTGATATGTGATCTCATGACTCTGATACTCCACGTACTAGACGACTCTTAAAATCTACTAAAATGTCATCCAGTTGTTTGCGGACAATACTGATAGGAGCAACTTGAAGGCGAGACCTTAGAATGACCTGCACGTATACAAACTATTGCATGTATCGCTAGGACAAATATTTGCACATGATATTAGTCCCACATGCCAACCATCAAGAGTATGAGGAAATATGAACAAATGGAATTCTTTCCCGATGAGTAGTGTATGTTATTCGTACAAAGTCGTCATGCTAAGTCCGACCAATATACACATAGAATGATAAGATAACATCATTCTCTATGTTAGGGATAAACCGACAAGCAAATGGATAATCATCAGTGTAGAACGAGTCACATTTAAATCCGTGAATGCGGTGATAGTGAGCAAAGATCTATTCCTGAAAACGAATAAGAAAAAAAATAGTAACAAATGTGAAAATAAGTTGTTTGTAACTTAATAGTGGGATTTGAAAATTATTGTAAGTAAGGTGCATGAGCCTGTAATTTGCTTTGTCGTCCATGTAGAACATTCGCTCAAATTGGAGTACAGGTAAACCAAACATGCAACCCCCTAATTTCATTGTGGATGGAATCCAAGTCAATGAAATATTTAAGGTAAGCTACATCCACGTAGTTTGCACTTTTGTCCACAAACATGGACGTGTTAACCAAGAACATGAAGAAGTACCTCTGGGCATACTCTCTGTGGTAGTCAACCCAAAGATCATCAGCATCCAGGTGTTCTACTATCTCCAAGTTATTTCCATACAACTCTTCCAATCAAGAAAACTTGGCACATGCACCCCTGGTGTTTCTACACTGCTCAAAGGCTTCATCAGAGTCAGCTCCCATATAAGCCACCATCATATCCACAACTTCAGTCCTGATGATCATAGAATGATCAATCAACCTTCCTCTAATGGGAAGGTGTAAGAGGCAAGCTACACCATCTAATATAATAGTCATCTCACCAATGGAGAGGTGGAAGGATGACGTTCCGCTCTGCCATCTCTCAGCAAATGTAGTTTGCATGCCATGGCTGATGGTGGTGTACTCAGAAGCACAAAGACCTGCAAACTCGGAGTTCTGGAGTGCATTTTGGAACCACTCATCCGGAGGCTGATAAATATTGTGAATCTTTCTTGCATGGTTCACAGATTTCAGACATTCACATTCATGTTGAAAATAAAATATAACAATCTCAGTCTAGTTGAATTTGGTTACAAAATAAAAAATAGCATCGTTCAAAAATACACATCTCCGTCCCAAATATGCGGAGTCACATGCTCTCCAAAGTATATCAGTAAAAAAGTGTCTGTGTGCCCTCCTAGAAAAGGGTCTGCAAGTAGGGCATCCTCAACAATTGAGACTTGCGGTGCAACTAGGGCATCCTCATCATGGTGCACACAACTCTGGGATCCCGACCCCGTGATAGTAGACTCCTATAGGTCAACACCTACCTGTCATGAGGCCGAGGGACGACTCTAGCATGCTCATGCTGACGAGCCTTTTTGCAGCGAGCAACCGCGATTAGGGTGGGTCGGCCAAGTCTCAATCTTTGGTTGTTTTCAACCATTTTCCTTGAAAACAAAAGGCAAAATATCCATTTTGGTCCCTTAACTATACCCTATGTCCAATTTGGTCCGTTAACTTTTTTTCGTGCTAAATTGGTCCTTTAACTTCTTAATAGATGCATATGAGTCCCTTCTGTCTACTCCGTTAGTCAAAGTCTGTTAAAAATCTACGCGACAACTTTTGTGACGGACTTAGCGTTGGAAAAACCGACGCTAAAAATTATTTCTGGAATTTAATTATTGTTGTTCATCTTCTTCCCGAAATTTTTAACTTCTTCCTCCATTTTTATTATCCACACATAAATTTATCCTTCCATTTAGATACAATTTCCCCCATTGTTTTTACAATCCACCGACTCACCTTATTGTACAGTTATATTTTGTTCGATCCATATACACATTACACTAAAAACCTAAACTCTCATTCAGGGTTCATTTAAATACACCAAATTGTTTCCTTGAAAAACCCCAAAATCTCATTTCATGATCCATTTCAATCAAGTGATGTGTCTCATTGTAAATCCTTCACCATTTCCAATTCTCCAAAATCATAAATTATTTTCCATCGCAAAGGATCAAGCTTCCAATTACGAACATAAAAAACCCACTATTGAAATGTGTGTTCAAGACCAGTCACAAAATCCCGTAAACTATTTCTTCTTGCTTCCAAGTGAGAACCCATGCGTGGTTCTAGTCTCTCCAACTCTCAGCGAACCAAACTACACAATTGGAGCATGGCAATGAAAAGAGGGATGTCTTCAAAGAAAGATATCCACTTATTAAATGGTATTTTCCCTCAAATCCTTCTTCCCCACCCTAATTACAAAAGGTTTCTCATTACAAAGTTTTATCCAAGGATTTGCTCAAATTCGATATTTTTTACTCCCTCCGGTCTCATTTATAAGAAAAAATTAACTTTTTAGATACATTAAATAAGTAATGTATATAAAAAGTTAATTTTTTCTTATAAATGAGACCGGAGGGAGTAACTCATATTTGATTTAGATTGAGAATAACTTGTTGAAATAAATGCTGATTTTGTTGAAATATCTGTACTTAAAACTCGAATGTGGTTTGCATTTAAAAATTTGGGGAAGAAGATGAACAACAATAATTAAATTTCATAAATAATTTTTAGCGTCGGTTTTTCCAATGCTAAGTCTGTCACAAGAGCTGCCACGTAGATTTTTAACAGACTTTGACTAACGGAGTAGACGAAAGAGACTCATATGCATCTATTAAGAAGTCAAAGGACCAATT